GAAGGAAGCGAATCCTCTTTATCCTCTCGATACGGTCAAGGAAGAGGCGAAGATTTTGCAAATGATGCAGCCCGACATCCACGCGGCGACCGTCAGCGGCCTCAATGACGTTATTGATTGGTCCTTATCGTCCGTTGAGGAGGACTTAATCAGCTTTGACCTGCCCCCGGGCTCTCAGCCCAAGGTCAGCCGGCCGAAAGGCCAGGCCGTTGAGGTTGCCGCAGTGGATCCGAACGATGTCGGCGAGGACGGCCAGATCAAGCTGTTCCTCACTTCCAAACGGAAAAGTCATAACAAAATGACTGCAGCTCTCAGTGCTGCGACACCAAAGGTGAAATCAAAGGCGATGCCAATGCCTGCTGCCTCATCCAGCGGTCAGGCGCCCGTGGCTGGGACTGGCAAGACTCAGCCCGGAGAGATCCGTGGCCCGGAGAACATCCCCAAGGCGAAGGCAGTTCCCAAAGCTGCTTCAAAGCCCGGGGAGACCCGTGGCCAGGCTGCTGAACCCAAGAGGGAGTGGATCAAGTGCTCAGGAATCAAGATTCCCCAGATCCAGAACTATGGCAGAAGGACGTTCCTGAGCAAGAAGGTGTCGTATTTGGTTCGCGGACATGCCCACGAACATGCGACACGGTCCATCCCTGAGATCAATCTCAAGGACAACTCCTTCGACTATGCAGCCGTTGCCAAGTGGATCCAGCGCCGATATGACTGGAACTGCTCCCAATACACTCTGCTTCAGGCCACGTCCACATCGAATCGGTTCGAGGTCTATGTCGAGTACGCGCCGGCCGGACAGCAATGGAACGGGCTCAGTTTCATGCCCCTACGCATTCGCGCGTTCACCGGCCACAACGATTGGGTGACTGAGGCCAGTGGCTTTGACAACATTCCTGGAGATCCCATTGCAATGGATGTCAACTACTCCATCGAGCACGCAAAGAAGGGTGTGCGACCGGGCTTCTGCAAAGATTTCTCGGACGCACGCCGAAAGGCGCTGCCCAAGATCGCCTACCACACGTGCAACATGCAGAACTTCTTTGACATCATCTACATGGGCATCTTTCCGGGCGGCATGGGGGACCGGCAAACCTCGCGTGGTCACGCCTACCTAACGGTGGTGCCTCCTTGGGACAGGCATGGCCGGAAGGCGGGGGGTGCGCGTGCTGACCGACCCATCAACATCGCCGTCGATGTGGAGATGTTGATTCAATTGGGGTGTCGGCTGTACGCACCCGGAGACGGGGAAGCCCTGGTGACGGAGGATTGGATCACGAACAAGGTCCTCATCTACGCCTACGACGCTGAATGTGCCAAGTTTATCTGGTCCAACCGGATGTACGTCAGCGTCAGGCGGAACTACCAGGAGAGCATCAAGAAGTACCGAGAAGAGACCCAGAAAGGCGTCGTCGGTACCCCGGTGCTGGAGTCCTTCATGGCCAACCTCGAGAAGGAATGCAAGGCCTACTACAAGCAATGGGCTCCAACGGCGTGCCGTGACTTGACTCGGCCCCATCGCATCGGCAACATCACGAAAGTCAAGAATGTCTTCGATGAAAATCTTCCGAAGGACGAGCAAGTCATGCTTGAGTTCGAGACGGCTCGCTACGGCCTCTACCGTAATTGGGCCCGTGCTGTGACGCAGCAGCCCGGGGAAACCCGAGGCCGGAGTGGCTTGTGGCAGGAGCTCGACCCCAACCGGAAGAAGGCCACAAACTGGCGGTTTGCCGAAGTGATGCATATTCCTGATGTCGCGTGCGATCGCTGCCAGATTCTCATTCCAGTTGGCACTATCAACTGCTTTCAATGCGGCCAGTTGATGGAACGGATGCCGGACATCAAGAAGATTGCCAGGGTGGTCCGGTTGCAGGAGATGGCCAACACATTGGGCGTGCCGTTGTCCATGGACCAGGTTGAGACTCAGATTTTGACGCAGCGAAAGGATGCGCGGGGGGATCGGAGCGCAAGAGGGGGCCTTGGCATCATGAAGGACATTGCCAAGAAAGCAGTTCTTCGCAACAAGGAGTACACCACGCTCTACGAGAGGCTGATCAATGACCCCTTTTACGCCTACACTGCCGCGCGGGGAGACCTGACGCCGTCCGCCCTCGAGTTCATCGAGAAAGTGGCACGATGCATCATTCCGAATTTCGTGAGAACCAAGGAAATGATCCAAGGAAGCGTGGCTGTGCCGAAATATCACGCACGGCTAACGCTGGTGCCGCCTACGGAGGAGGTGCAGGAGGTCGACCCGAAGGACGTCTACGTTGTGCATGGCGGCAGGTTTCTGGAACCAGAACAATTTGCTGCACTTTACGGAAGCCTTGACAAGAGCAACCGCTACAGCGTGATGGGCTGGACCCGGGATTTCTTGTCTGTGGGAGACCCCGAAATGGTATTGGTGGAGTTGCTCTGCTTCGTCGAAGATCCCCAACATCGAGATCCCTGGGCGGGCCACCCCGCTCCCTGCAGTTGTCGGTGTGGCGCGCAAGCCCATTCCGCAGCTCCGGGAGACCGGTGGCCAATGGCAGGATCGTCAATGGAGCCAGTCGTACTGGGGAAGTTGGGGCCAGTCCTGGGACTCGTGGTGGTCTGATGATCAGCGCCCGTGGAAGAGCTCCCGCAATTGGGATTGGCGATGAATGAGCGATCTCTTCGACAATATTTTCTATCTTCGGCTGACATCCATTTACATTTCAAATTCAATTTCCATTACACTTCTCAATCATGTTGGCCGAGGATCAATGTACAGTGCACGAGCACGCCTCGCGAGAGCGACGGTCAGTGGAGGCGGAAGACCTTAGCTACCGATCGCTCAAATCCAAGTGCTTGTGTGCTGCAAAATGACATCATGCCTATCGGGTTTCTTTGGTTGTCTCATCCCTTTCATTTGTCCTCCTGTTTCACATTCGGGCACGGGGGGTGTAGTTTGCAACGTGATGTATTTATCAACCATGTAAACCCCAATGCATGCATGTCTCACTTGTGCAGTCTCATCATTACGACTGCACGTGGCTCAAGGAAAAAGCGCGCTGAGTACAGGGTTCAATTGTGACCCTTCCCGGTTGTTTAACCTGTTCTATATGAAGCAACCCCTGTACATTAATACATGGTTTGCTTATTGTGGTTTAGTGGTTGAAATCCCCACTGAACTGCTGAAATTGGATTTGTGCTCCCCTTCCAAAGTCAACCAAGAATATGGGGGTGTGCCTGGCTTGAACCGTAATCCATGCGTTCCGTTGGGCTTAGGGTTTAAGCGTAGGATGTAGGGTTTTGGGGCTTCGGTTTGGCCTCAACACACCCCAAAACACAGGCCGTGCCCAGTAATTTGGGCTTAGGTTCAGGGCTTAGTTTTGGAGGGTCTAGGCTTAGGGTGTCTAGGTTTAGGTTTAGGGTTTTTAGAGTTTATTTACTTTCCGTAGCCGAGTCTGCAAGTTGGGCTACCCAAGCCCTAGTCGGAGCTTAGCCCTCCAATGTCCAACAATAACTGCCCCTGTGCAGTTTTTTTTGCGTTTGCGACCAACCCGTCCCGAGGATTGGTCGTGGTTGTCGTGGGGGTTCACTTTTAAGCAGTTTGTTCATCCAGGGTCATTGCATCCAGTTACTAGGCGACATTCCCGTTGGCGATGCCCAGAAAGGCCTACCGATTGTGACTTGCTGATGGAAAAGCAGAGGGGGAGTCCTTCAACTCTGTATATTAAGAGTACCAAACTTGTGTCCGAGTGGACATGGACTGTGCTAGTACTGGGAACTGGAACATTGATGACTTTGCATTCTGCTGTGTTCGTTCATCCTCAGATCGATTCAGTGACTGCACTCAGAGAGGTGAGGCTCCTGCTTGTTGAGACGCAAAGTCGTTGTGAATCTCCACCACTCTTGGGGTATGACTACATCATTGCCCTCCACCAATTCGCAGCAACCTCCCCTTTCTGCCCCTGTGATACTGCCATTTCAGTGCAGGCTGTCTCAGACAGAAAACAACATCCGCTAGGAGAGGTGTGACGCATGCTTTGACTGTGTGTCAGAGCAAGAAGCCCTTGTGATTGTGAGTATCCACATGAGCCACATGACTCCGTAGCGAGTACGAGGTCCAACAGGTTTTCACATCCCGCCTTGGCCCAAAAGTTGTGTATACCCCAAACCACGTGATCGGTCAGAACACGACGTAGTATCATGAAGACTTTAGGCATGCGCTTTGAACATTTGCAGAAGAAAGCCACAAAGCAGCCAGGTAAGATAATATTCCATCAACTCTGGGAGTGCAGGGCAAAGAAAAGGTGCCCGGTTTGTTCCCGTGGAAAATCACAGTTGGACAGAACGAGATTGTCATGCGTTTCCTAGTTTAGGAAGCAGCTTTGTAGGAATGAACCAAGGACATGGTTCAGGTTCCGTATTTTCTTCACCCGTTTGTCCGTTCAGAAACTACACGTTTCAGGTTTTGTTCTAGTTTCCGAACAAACACTATCCATGTAATATATTATTTTGGTTGGTGAATTCGAACTACTCAAATTTTAGAGGTTCCCAATTTTAGAAGCATCACCTGAGCCGAGGATGTTAAACTGTGTGGGACGTGTTGATGAGCAAAGAAACCAAGTCTCATTTTTTCCATCCAGTCCGCTCAGTTCTCCCACATCGACGTCCCAAACGTACTAGCATAGCTTTTCTCGGTTGTGTCATAGTGCCCAGACCATGATATTCTCGCGGGTTTTCTTTGAAGGGTACTTGTACGCTCTTTCTGGTGGCTTTTTTAATGAAGTGCCAAAAGGAACACCGCCATTTTAGCGGGGCCGCCAAAAGAAGACACGCTCTAATTCTAGGGGTGGACTCCCCATGAATCCCCGTTCTTTTCAACCATCGTTCTTTTCAAACACCGGCAGTTTCCCCTTTTGATTTCCTGAAAAGGTTTGGATCCCTGGAAAGAATAGAAATGGAAGGTACCCCTAGACTAACGACCTTCCCTGCGCCCCATACCCTTCGCTCGAATATTTCGCTGGAGTAAGGTCCTGGGCTCCCTCGGTGGCGGCATCCCAGGGCTCAGTGGACCGCAAGTGGCCGGGACCTCGCCCCGACTTTCGGGAGCGAAGTGGCAGGCAAACTAAAGCCCGCTCAAAGCCACTGTAGCCAGATTTCGAGAAGTGGGGCAAAACCCGGCCTGCGGGGGTGCTTGATTGGTTGAGTTGCAACCCAGCTTTTGGAATGGGAAGAAGCCATGCCCGCCAAATGGATTTTCAACGAGAAGGTCTGTTGGCTCCAAAAAGTTGCTGCGGGACCATCCAAATCCAAACTCCCGCCACTTCCCCTTGAAGTACGTTTTTTGGCGGCCGGAAGTGGATGGCCACTTTTGCCACACCAACGCAAGTGAGATGAGCAACCGGCGGGTTTTCAGCGCCAGGCTTAGCAATTGATTGAACCCAATGAAGACACACGTGCTCAAGTTTGCGACAGCCCTGAAATTCTGCGGTTGAAGGAAGCACTCACTGAATAGCGGAAGTCTCGAATTTGTTGGAACCGTATTTTGCTTGGTGTGGTGCTGTTTTGTGAACAGTGCAAAGAGGGGAGGGGTGGAATGGATCATATTGTCAACGGAATGATGGTCGACCATGAGGTAAATAGGGAGTAAAGACAGTAGAGGCACCCTGAAATCAGGGACGTGTTGTGTGTTTTGCCGCAACCTCACTTGTATGTAAGCTACCCCACTGCACGTGACCCGTCTAAGAAGATCACGAATATTATTGCTTAGTATAGATCTTAGCAGCACTTAATATATTTGTGGGGTTTTGACGTTCAACGTGTGAACGTGTTTGAGCATGACAAAGTTGACAACCACTAGCTACTGGCAGCAAACACTTGGCATTTTGCAAGGAATCTATTCAACCATCCCCAGGCAGGTGTTGTTTTGCCACTACGTGTAGCAAATTGAACCAATCAGCAAAACATGAGCGGTCCCATGACCAAAGTTTTCTGAGTACTGAATTCTGAATGAATCAGTCCGGGAAAGGAAGGCAATAATCAGCCTTGCCACTAATATGCACAGACATCCCTTATGTGGCTCTGCGTTTTTTTTTGGTAGAGTCCGTTAACACCAGGTGTCGTTTAGGACTCATATATGTGTGCAGGGTGCAGACTCTGATTTCTACCCGTGATGCTGTAATCATTACAAGAAGTGAGACGTGCATTTGTTGAGTTGCCTCTGTGACAGGGTCAGGCAGGTTGTAGTATTTTCCGAGGGGGGGGGGGTATTGTGCCCTAACCCCTTAAGTCGACAGGTCGGCGCGCCAGGGTACGGGAGATTAACTGATACTTTTGCGCCTTGGAACTACCTACCTATCGTCGCCGCCATCATCATGTTCATCATGATCATGATCATGATCATGATCATATCATCATCATCTTAATAAGTGGTCTTGGTCATTGCAATGAGACTTGTTCGACACAACATGACGCCTTTCATTGACCTCCTGACCATCTGCCAGACAACCGGTGTTTCACAAAATAGGAGATCGGTCCCCTAAAGCACTTGGCTTCCTTTAGTTTCCCTTTAAACTACTTGAGATTTAGAACGGGCATCCTTATTTGGTTTTTGGTGTTTGGTTTCCCTTATACTACCATGTCGAGACCCCCCAAAAAACACGGTGGCGCGTTCAGTTGCCATAAAGCTATCAAAGGGGTGTAGCCGCCGCAGCAAGCAACCCCCCTTTAAATCATCGACCTTCAAGAGGGATCATAAGTCTTGGAGGAACACACATACATAATATGTACAAGTATATACATCATATAGATGAATCAAACCTTCACCCCTCCAAACAACCTACCTGAGAATACCCTTGACGTGTAGATCTTTTCGCTTCCCTGCATGTCTAGGTTTGCGCGAGTGGCTTCCCTGCTTGTCTAGGTTGGCGCGAGTGGCTCCCATCAGCTACTTGCCCTCCGAGTGCTCTGGCGGGTGTTAAGGCCACAGGTAGGTTTGCCTCGTTTCGAGACCCTCACTCTGTGAGTTCCTGGCCTTTCACTGTTGCAAGCTGTTTCGTGGCAAACAAACGCGTGACTTTTTTGGGCGGGTCTTCTTGCCTGGAGAGGACTAGCGGCGAAGGGGGTTGTGCCTGCAGGGTTTGGGGCCACATTCAGCTAGCCAATTTTTCAGGTGTCCGTTGACGTCTGTCTACTTGTAGACTGCCTTGCCGAAGAAGGAACATGTTTTTTTTCAACTACCACGGATGTTGACACCTTCCATTTGTTTTGTTGAATGAGTTTTGGGTGATGTTTGTGTGGGTGTCTTTGCTGTTATAGTTTGTGCACTTCTTTTTTAAAGAGCAAGGTCACAACGGGTGGATATGATGTGTCTGGGTGGTACTACAATATTACCTCAAACTGGTCCTGGTTTTGCTGTGGAATGAGCTTAGTGGATACCTCATGTTCAAGCACGGCTGGTGACAAGTACAACCAACTAAGATAAACCAACTGGTTGTTTGCATGGATTGACAGATCTCTGCTTGTCACAAAGATCACACTTTGCCAGATATTAGCATGATGGGACCATATAAGCGATATTCCAAGATCCATAGCTGGGCATCTTCCAAGCCTATGTTGCATTTAAAGGTAGACTGAATATGATACATAATCAGAAATGCTTTTTGGATGTGCCCCAGATTGGTCAATATGAGTAAGCATGTTTTTTTGCTCAGCCCTGTTTTTCTTGGACTTGTCGCGTCTTCGGCAGTCTAAGTGGCTGTCGAACGGGCGCGTGCCACCGGGTGCGCAATTGCGCTTGGCAAGCTTATTCGGCTGCAAGCCGCCTTCTAGGTTTATTACGGGCATGACACAAATTCGTCAGAGTGTTTGTTGAAGTCGTGGACCCCTGTTGACAGGGAAGCCAAAAAAGAATCAGCCATGTTGGGGGACCGATTCCAGTTTTGAGTTTCAGCTGAGATGTTGATTCCCTGATTTCCTCTGATCCAGATTTTGGGCCCGGTTTGCCAGGCGGCTGTGGCCACTCAGGTATGGTTGTCAGATGGGGAAACCCGAAATGCGGGAGTCCCTTTAAACCAACCCAAAAAAGGGTACCCTCAAAAAAGAGACCTGGATCAGAATCACACCTGATTTTTGGTTGGAGGAGGCCGAGATCAGGCGCCAAGGGGTCATTGTCACGAAACGAAGCCTGGCAGGCATTCAGTAAGGGCTTTGTGCGTAACCCATTCCCTCTGAACCCAAACCGCACCACACTTTCAACCAGCAGGATGATTTCTTTCTCTCCCGGGGTTGGGGGGGGGGGCTGTTTGGCCTTTTGTTCGCCAGCTATGCGACTCTGGCTGACCTCGGACCCACTTCAGCCCTTTGAGCGTCGCCAGGGCGGGCACCTGCGCCATGCGCAAAGACTTGTTGATGGAGGACTCGGAACCCGGCTTGTGCTTGGGACACCAAGTGCTGGGTACCTGGAGCCTCAAACTCTCCGTAGAGCACGAAACCACTCATTTGGGGGATATTTGGCAAGTTGTTGGCTCCGATTTATCTATTTTGTGGTTCCCCACCAAAAATGGTCGATCCCAATGACAAGAATGCCAATGTTGTTTCGGGGCGGGGTCGCCTTAGAAACAAACTCATCCCTTTACCAGTTCTTGAATGGTACCGTTTGTGCTTTGTTGTCTTGAACCAACCACGTTTCCCTCTGCTATTTGACCGGATCTTTTGCTCCGAACATTTGGGAACATGTCAAATGATTTATATACAGAAATAGCACTGGGAGCAATAGGTCAATTCTTTCAGCGGGGAAGGTACGGACCCTGGACCAAAATGGATCGGTTCAATGGGTTCCCACCAAAAACGGAATCAGCCTATTTTAGGCCTGGCTCGTACTTGGTCCTTTGCTTACAGATGCCTTAGTTCAGAGTTTGGAGTTATTAAATCGATTTGAATATGCAATCAACTCAAAGAGAAGGTGTCTTTTTGTTGACCAAGGTCACTGTTGCAACTGTCATTCCCAAATCGGAAAGCTTGTTTTTGTTGGGAATTAACCACTTGGTCCCCCAGGATGTCACAAGGGGCCTCGGGTCAGGGCATTCCCTGAACAAAGGACGAACAACATGGTTTCCATCAACTCAGGGGACTGGGCGGCAATCCCCCATGTCCCTGCATCACTTCCCAAGTTTCTGGACGCACTGTTCGTGGTTGACTTCGACCCAGTGGTAAAGCGAGCTGCTCGGGTCCGCGCAAATTTGAGGGAAGCAACTATCGGTCACAGGCCCAAACTTGGAGGTCATCCCAAACGTGGATGCCCCTTGTCACACCTACCCATCTTGGCTGGGCTTTCTTGGAGCTGTTGGCTGGAGGTTGGTTTTCGCCGAAGCTCCGACTCCTCAGCCTCAGACCTGTGGCTCCTTCGCGTTTGCAAGGAGCTCCAGCGGCTGGCGGGGCGCAAGTCCATGCGCCGTGGGCTTAAGCGAAAGGAAGACCAGCAATTGGTGCCCCAGCAATTGGTGCCCTGTCTCACCCATTTCTTTTTTGGTTGGGAGGGTTTTTCTACTAAAATAGGGTACAGAAAAAATCGGGCACCCTTATTCTAACCTCTCTACTGGAGGACCTAGCCAAAATCGTCAGCTGAGCCCTTCGGGTAGATTTGCTTGAATTGTTCAGCCAGACTTTTTTGTTTGGTGGCCTATCTTCCAAGGATCGGAGACAAACAGGGCCCTTCTTGGTTTGCCAGCTTTCAAGAAAAGCCCAAGCAACTGGAGTGGAAGATCAAGGGAATGGGTGGTTTGACTCGCAGCTTTCCACAGGGAGTCACATGAAATGGGGGTTCCTGGCAGCCGAAAGCTGGGTGTTGTTGGGGATTTTCTGGGCTTATTTGTCGGGGTGTCACCAAGAGAAGCTACCAACAACATAATTACATACTTGGTGCCTGTTCGGTTTACTGTTTCCCGTTTTTTTTTCTTTGGAGGTCCTTCCCTGAATAAGATAGGGGAGGGAGTTCCTTGAGCAACTGGCAAAGTCAGTGCTGCCAATTAGTGGAGGGCTGGGCGCGGCCGATTTTTCGGTCGCTGAGGCATGCAGCGCACCGTGCAGGCCCTGGACTCGTTGACTTCTGCAGGCCGGCTTCCCGCTTGAGCTGCCGGTTTTTGCATACGTATGAGATCTACCCGGTCACCCCCTACTCCAAATACCTTCTCGTTTCCCCCTGCTATGGCTCTGAATCAGCAATAGACTAATACTGCCTATATACTCCAAATACCCTGGCTTTTTCAAGGGCGTCTTTGGAAAGAAAACAAGTTGTTCTTCTAAGCAGTGGTCGACATCATACCCTTGGCCAATGCCCCCTTCTTAAGGCTCTGAATCAATTCTGGACTTTGACCCCCCCAAGTTTTGATTATGAGGGATGGTTCCGAGCCAAACCGAACAAGAGCAAACCGGGGAGCTTTGCCTTTACCATCCCTTGTTTGGTATCTTCCACGCGGGTGTATCTTTTTTCGATTGTACCCCATTTTGGTTGGTGTTGAAGGGAAACTAAAAGAAAAACCACGGTTTGGGACAGGTTCCTCTTAATAACTGCTCCTAGGTTTTGTACGGGCAAACTCAAAAGCTGACCAATTGAAACGTCCCACCCGAAGAACGACGCGCGGTTGGCCCAGGAAGTGCTGGTGGGTACCTGTCCTTCGAAAGCGGATCTGCCCGGTTTGTTGCTGTTCGCCGTCGCTGGGCGAAGCCGGACGGGTAGGCGCAGGGTAGACCAACTTCCTCGCAGAATAGCATGGACCGCCCCCCCCACCATGGAGGTGCCTCTAAGAGTGATGATTTTTGGCTTCCATGCTAGTCAGGAGGGCAAGGTGCCCCAAAGATGAAGTTGCTTTCCTTTCAAATATTTAGCCATGATTATGTAATGGCTACGGGGATCTATTATCTGCAAAGGACACCCTCGTCGCCACCAGACAGAATTGTGGACCGTTGCAGGACGGACTTTTCTCCTTGCACCACAATATTGTTTGCGAAGTTTAGCCTCAAGAAGCACGGCTTCATAATGCATGGGATCCGCGCAATGGGTATCAAAAAGGAGGTCAATCCAACAACGAACACGCGCGGATGCCCTGTTCCAAAATCATATGGCGACATAGGCTTGCGACAGGCGCAAGCGCTTTGCGTGTTTGATCAGGGGGTTGACAGTTTGGAGTTCATTGCAAGTCGAAAAGTGCCAACGGCCAACGTGTCATGTTCTGCTGAGCTGCAAGCCGTACTGCGCAGAGGTCATGAAGCAAAAGTACTAGTAGATCAATCATTGTTTTGACTGATCAAACATGATACCAGTTTTTTGGAATGATCAAACATCGTGAGTTTGTCTTGATGCAAAGGTTCCGGTGCCTGAGCCTTTTGGATGCGACTCGGGAGACCCCAAGACTTTGAGACAGACTCTAGCAGAGAAGAAACAAGTCAAGGGGCTTCCCTCTCTCAAATGGTACCTTTTTTGAGTGGGAAACACACTATGTATGAATATATGGTATATTAAATGCATACATATATGGATGTGCGTACATATTTCTGTATGTATATATTCACATGCTACCTAGTTTGTTTTTCATTTGGCGGTTGCTGCAACACATCAACTGTGTCTCCATGTTGGGCCACTGGACAACTGGCTTGTCCCCTGGAGGCACTGAAATGCGTTGGGCGTTGCGGGGCTTTTGGGGCTCTTTTCACATGGTCCGAAGAGTGCAGCTTGACAAAGGAAAGAGCTGATCTCGTTGCCAAAAGGGGGACCACCCCTGATTACATACAAGGCTTGCATTGTTCCCCTTTCTGTGGGTAGAGGGTCCGGTATTACAAAATGTTCCTTAGGCTTGCCCCAACCACCATCAAACGCTCGTCCAGGTTTTGATCCACCCAACCGGTCGTCGCCAGATTGGGGCCTCACCGATGATTACCTGGAAGCCCTCCTGGAGGCTCACGACGGCGCAGGCCTCGGGCGCTTGGTCAAAGGTCGCGTGGGGGAGCCCCAATTTGCGGTTCAAGAACCCACCGTTCAAATCAAAACACCGAACTCATTGAGGTAGACTTGGGTGGGTACCCTTGCAAGTTGTTGGTTGGAGGGCATCGCACATGAGCATCGGCCAGCGGTTTTACCGGACGAAGCGGAAACGAGCAAACGGTTGAGGTTTCTATACCAGCTTTAAGCAGATCCAAACAAACACCGCCTGCTTTGGTGGGTTCCTCTTTAGACACACACACGCACACACAGTTGCTCAGTGGCAACTGTTGTTCCTTTTTGTGGGAAGTTCGCGCTAAACATGGAGTTAAGCCCAAAAGGGTCCCAGTTATGGATCTTCCGGGGTCACTGTGAAACGGTAGCTTGGAAAAAATGTGAACCAGAATCTCAAAATGTCATTTCTGGTTGGGGGGCGAAAGCTGAGGGGAATGGCTTCAAACGATTTCGTTTGTAACAACCCTCAATTCTTTGTTCTGTGAATCTTTCAAGGTGGCTCAAAATGGTGAAGATTCGACGCATGTCGCATGATGCTGAGGTCTGGGTGTGAGGGAGAAGCCCGGAACTCAGTCACTCCGAAACAAACGAAGTCAATTCAACTCCTCTTGCTGAGCATTGCGGCTATTTGGTTGGATCTTTGTACTTTAACTTTTTGGACACAGTGGAGTTTCCACTGGATCCACATAAAGTTGTTTGTGTTTGCAGCGGGGTCAACAGCAACCAAGTGGGGTTTTAGTTGTTGGAAACGGACCCCCCTGGACTCAATCTCAATGGCACCGACAATCCAGCATCCAAAATTTAAAGGAACCCATGGCTTGGAACCCACACGGATCACCCTATCTGTTGATAGAAAGCTACAACAAATGTCAACAGCGCTGGACAAGCACCCAGCAAAAGCAAGGATTTCCTGTAGAGTTTCCAGGTTTGTGCTGGTTTCCTGTAGATGTTGCTTAGCTTTGTATTAGTTGGGTATCTTCCCTGGTAGAACCAATTGATTCGATGATCTCCAGGCTCCATGAATGGCATTGAAGATAGGCGTGGAGGTCACCCTTCGTAACCAGACACTTTCCGTGTTGTTTATGCGGGTGGGAAACCCCTTGGTTGCCATGGAGGCACGTGGAATCATTAGGCACTTTTCATGCAATAACTTGTTACGCGAGCAGCTCTAGAAAGCTTTTTGCGCGTGCAGCTGAAACTGGCATAAGGGTCGAAAGGGCACGCCTGTTTCAAGACCCTTTCGTGACTTCATTTTGAAAGGAAGCAACATAGATCATGACGGTCCGATTTTGAAGAACCCTCACGAAAATCGGAGTGAGCCGCTTCAGGAAATTGGGGGCCACAGTTTGCGGGATGATGGATTCCATCCTGACCGATGGCCTGGGGTTCGAACGGAACCTGGAGCTGCTACTGGCAAGACTCACCTAGGATGAGTTGACACTCATCAACTCGGCCATCGAGTACTCCATGAATGCCCCTTCTTCAAATACCCTCTTTTTCAGGGTATGATGTCGACCCCTGACAAAAAAAGGGAGGTAAAAAGTCACGGAGAAGCCCTGCTTTTTCAAACGTGCAAAATAGGAAAACACAGAACAAACGGTACTTCAAGGGGCTCTTTGACTGGACTCAGAATCAAGAGTCATCACGTGAGTGCAATTTTGACCGTGGCCGCTTCTCTCGAGAGCTTTGGTGCATTCCTCTGGACTCTCCGGTTGCCTTTCTTGCGGAAACTGGACCTTCGGTTTTGGGCTCGGGGAAGACCCAAAGCCGACCTCTGCTGATGCCGTTGGGAACTCAAGCGGTTTGAATGTTTATCCCCATAAATGTGTTTCTCCGTTTTACGCGGAGAGTACGCGGAGGCTTGTACTTTTGCACGGTATATAAACAGTTGGTTTGAGTGGAGCACCACACCTAGACCCTTGGCGACACTTTACGTGGGACAACAAAAGGTGTTGCCAAACATCCGGGCGGAACCCCCGCTTTCAGCGGATGTTCCAAAGCTGAATTTCTTCCATGGCCTATGGCTATCAAAGGTGGACCTGCCTTCAAAAGGTGAAACTCTTTTGATTTCCCATCAAAACCAACCCGAAACGGGTCCCCTACATTTTGCACCACCTCGATGGGTTGAGCACCGAGGAAGATCACGGATGTTCCCAACGGCCTGGTAGGTGCGCTTGGCATCCGGTACTGGGGCTTTTTAGGGGTAAACCAAAGTTGGAACAGAGGCAGGAGTTAGAACATATGGCTTGCGTTCAAAAAGGCCGGCTATGGAGCTATATACAGTATGTGCATAATTCCTGTTGCATCTTGCTTTTCCATTTCGAAATGAAGCTGGCCCCCACCTAAATCATGCAAATCCCACTAGCAGCGCTAGCTCGGCGCTAGGTCGGGGACTTAGTTGACGTGGCATGTGAGATGCGCACGCATGGCCCCTCTGTCCGGTCGCTCTCAGGGCTCGAGGCATTCCTTGCTCGCAAAGTCTTACTATGTGGAGAGCGGAGACGAAGTACTATTTGACCAGACCTTGCGAAAGCGCTGCGCCTGCCACGATATCTGTACGTGACCTTGCGAAAGCGCTGCGCCTGCCACGATATCTGCACGTGACCTTGCGAAAGTATTGCGCCTGCCACGAAATCCGTACCTGACCTTAGGACACGTGACTCTGGGAAAAATGTGAAAACATGGGCAATTTTTCGCGCTAGCTTCGCGCTAGCTCCGCGTGAGCACCACGCTAGCAGGCAGTTGCCAACTTGAACACTGTTGTTGGAGGCAAGACCCACGAAGCCAGCTCATCCGACAGCAGGCCCGCGCTAGCGCGCCTGTCATTTGTAAGTTCCTTAGTTAAACCTGTTGTGCCGCAATGGTTGCGTGTTCATACGGCCCGAATGATACGGGCCCTATGGAATGGCGATTTTCGCTACAAACCTTGACAACCAACTATATGTTTGTTTTATCCTCTTTTTTCGGTATCTCTTTTCTTTTTTCCTGGGCCAAGCTTCATGATATCACAATGTTTGTCCGACGATTTGCAAGTCATGCGTCGATTCTTCGCAGAACCATAATCACTTTTGGTAATCGCCGTGGAACGCTTATGCTAGACTTAGTTGTTCAGTGACACCTTCGTCCCTTTGCATTTTATGGATTCCCCACTACAGATGGGATGGACCCCAAAACGGGTTCCAGGAAAATCTTGTCATACCCTCACTGATTGCAACTGAGTGGAATTCCAGGTTGGGCTCTTCTTACAGGGTGATGTAGGGCCAACCAATCAAAAAACACCAAACTCCTTTTGCATGGACCCCCCCCCCATGGAGGCTGTTGGGTTGCAAGGACATGATGGTTATCCTTAGCTCATTTGCCCCTTGATTTGTTCATGAGGGTTGAATCAAGATGTCCCAGCCCAGATGGTTCAGCACGCGGGATTTCCCGGCCGCACCCGGATTGGTGGGTTTTGTTTGAGGGACCAAGCCAAAAGGAAGACCGATGCCATTCTTTGGACGCCACTAATTTGAAGCATAACATGATCAGTTGAGCAACTGACCACCTCTTTTTTTGAAGCACCCTAATTTGAAGCAGAAAGCAATCAACTGACCACCCAACAGAAAGGTGGTTCCCGCCTTTTCTTCCCTACAGCCCCGAAAAGGGTACCACCTTTTTGAGCCTTTGCGCCAGGGGTGAAGCACATCCACCTGGGCGGCAACCTGCTGACGGAGCGGGGGCTGCAGGCGGGGCATGGTGTGAGCGTCTCCAAAAAGTGCGACGAAGGCGGTACTTGTTCTTGGTGCTTCGCAGCCATCCGGTTCCTACAATTGTTGTGTTTCTTTTGTTTCGTTTCTTCCTTTTTGTGGGGATTTCCATTTGACCCGCTTTAGCTTTTTAGCCTTTTAGTGTTTAGTGGGCATTTCCGTATTTAACCCACAAGTGAAACTTTTAGCAGGGATCAGTTTGGACAGCCCAGTTTTGTTGAGGCTTGGTACCCCGTGAGGTTGGCAAGAGGTGCCCAGAGCTAGACGCGGTGTTGTTTTGTTGAGGGTTTGCGCGGGTCAAAAAGAACAGGAGGACCGCCATTTGCTCAATTTGGATTGATCAATTTGCCAGCCGTTCGCTTAGTTTTGGTTGAGGGGTCACAGTGAGGAGACTTCTCTATGGGTTTCATGTATGCATGATTTCCTGGTATTGCCGACCAAAAGTCTGGCGGAAAAAAAGCAACAACTTCGCAAGCATCGATCCTTTGCGAAAGCAGTTTGAACTCGATCAGCGGTTTTCTGGAAGCGAATCCTCGAGGATCGTCTCAACCCTGAGTCCCGTGCGCAACCAGGCGGCCATCCGGCTGTCCCTTAACGTTCCACTTTGGGTACGTTTGTGTTGATATGGAAACTAGTCTCTGTTTGGTGCCAATTTTTGAGATACCGATGGACCCCCCCTTGAAAGTGAGAAAGCAGTGGGATGGAATTCCTACTTTAGCTTAGAATTGGTGATTTTCCTCAAGGTGAGTTGTCAGCCAGGTCCCTTTACAGGACCATTTCTTCTTGGAGCTCTGAAGGGAACGAAGGTCACTCTGCACCTTCCAGTTCAGTGGACTTGGTCGGGATATGACTGGTCTGCAATTGTGATGCTTTGCATCGTGAGCTTGGGACACCATGGCTGGTTCCCTCTAGGCTTTCCACACGTACCGGACAGAAAAGGCGCTCCCTTTGGTTGTGCTTATGCTTTGTGGACGCCCTGAAACGCTTGGCTGTGATTGGCTTTACAAACCAGCCAATTTTTTTGAACACCCATGATCTCTAGGAAGGGTCCGAAACCAACCCGGCAGTTGTGAGCCTCTGGGCGGGAACACACAGTGAACCCAATACCGCTTTTTGCTATGGCAAATACCTCCGTTTTAGACAGGGGGCGTATGTCGAGCCAGGAATTATTAAACACTTAGTTCACAACATGCGTTCCAATGGATCCTAGTTAGCGTCATGGTTTCACCTTGGTCTGCAAAAAAAGAGTACGTGGCGTCATTCCATTTCCTTGTTCAAAGCATGAGGAAATAGGAAGAAGGCTGGCGGTTCCGCCGATCGGGATCCCCGCGTTTTTGAGTCCCCGCACGCGGCCGTCGGGAGGTCTTGGTCTCAGTGGAAGGCCCCGCCGATACCTTGCAGACCTTGCAGGGGCCCACGGAGTCGAATCGAGACGCCAAGTTCGCCAAGGGGCAAATTTTGGCGGGTGGTTCGGGTCCTTCCTGGCTTGGGAAACGAGGGGTCTCTTGACAAGCATAGAAGCCTACAGCCTGACCAGCCAAGGGGTGAATGCATGACCCTTGATACATCTACATCTTGCTTCTTTACTGTTTTGCTCCCAACTTGAACACGTGATTGTTTTTTTTTCCCTTGAACGCATCCCCCCAAAAACAGGTATCATCAAAAAAGAAATTGTCACTTGCTGATATCTGGTTTGTCCTTGAAGTGGGGCTGAACGACCATTGGCAACGTTTAAGGGGCATGTAAGCAGCCTTGGTGGGTCCTTCCGGGTATCCAGCATTTCCTCCTTGCACAGATGGGATTTGAACCACAAGCCAAACCACTTAACACGCAAACCACGAAACCGTAGTGATCTTAGTCGTTGCGTGTCTATCGCAAATTGTCACGCTGGCGGACTTGAATTTGCACTCTCCCCACAGCAAAATGGGGCGCGCTGCCATTGTGCCACAGCTCTTCTGGCAATGCTCAGCTTTCATGTCCACTTCAGGAAACGGCACTCTTGGCATCCTCGCAACGTGTGCGGGGCACCCCAATCAAAATTGTGGTGTCTCTTTGGCTGTTTAAGCCGTCTGCGCAAGGGTCTTGCCATTGAGCCGAGGAATCTGACTTCCAACCGGCTGGGCTTACAGGTGGGCTGGGAAAACCGCCGGCGCAATGGATCCGGATGGATCGGGCTCCAAAGATGTCGGTCCGTTTGCCTTGGGGGATTTCAGCAGCACCGTTTTAGCCGTTTTAAGCCGCGTTTTCTTTGGGGTGATGTTTAAAGGGGCTAGCATTGCATCACGAACCCGGCGGCGCGGTCTGATATCCGCTGGTCTATGGTGAATGTGGAGTGGCATCATCCACACATCACCTTTCAAATTCGCACATGCCCATTGTGGAAACCACATACTTTGACCGTGGCTCATAATGGCATGAAACACGGCTTTGCTCTGACCATGGGCTTCATTTTGGAGGCTGGCTGGTTTGTCGTCGGTTCATACATTGAGGGACCCCTGAAAACAGGTCTGGTTTCCCTTTCAACACCCTCCGAACTTGAAAGACCCACGTAAAGCAACTTGGCAGGTTAATCGTTTCAAGGAGCACGAAAAAGCCGATGGCATAAGGTATGGGGACGACCAATTGAATGGAACTTTGCCGGTGTGCATGGTTGCCGCGTTTCGTCGCAACGCTTCTTTTCTGCACGGGGCGGTTTTCGGATTCTTGAGGCTGGGGAAGGTCGCCTCTTGAACTGAAGGGTAAACCAGGGGAAGAGTCCGGAGACTGAAAAGCAGCTTAAACAGCAGTGGTAGCTGAACCGGGAGAACAAGCGACTCGGAAGGCCCGGGTATGAACTAGTCAGAAAGCCGCAAGATGCTGGGAGTTTCTTGCAAAAACGAGATGGTTCCCACAAAATAGCAAGATCCGGCCAAGAGAACGCACAAAGCGAAACGCGGTGGCATGGCAGAGGCAAGTTAGCCGGTGTTGCTTTGAATCTGTGGTGTCTGCAAAACCAGATGGTCACCGTTAACACAACAAGCTGAAATTGAGTGCAGCACGAGTTGCGTGTGTGTGCGTGTGTTTTGTTTGGCCAGCTTCTTGTTTGGTAAACATTATCAGGTGACCCTTGGTTGGTGGTTTTGCGGTTTGGGGATGGGGTAAACTGGACACCGCCCCCAACCTCCGCACAAATCCAAACCACCAATTAGAGGAAGCTGCTTTGTTTTCCCAGGTTCTCGGGTTTGCGCGTGTTTGGCATTTCAGCAGTTGGCGGGTGATTGCTTTTTCTCATGGGTAGCCACAAGTTCCGCCAACCAAAAACTGCCAAAACCATATGCTCTTGGGTCGGGGGTGTTTGGCTGGCAACCGGCTTGTCTCATAGGGAAATCCGGAACCACCCGTTTTCCTGGCGCCGAGTACCGGACTGTTTTCGGAGGGCGGCAGCCTCTGCGATTCTGTCGCCAGCCTGTATAGCCTCGTGGAGCCGCTTGGCATGGGTGAATCGATTAGTTGAAGGGGGGCTTGGAATAAAGGGAAGACCTGGACCCTCAAACTATACCCTGAAATGTTGAAATGGACAGTACGCGGTGACTTGCCATCAAGGTCAATTTGAGGGTCCAGGTATGTGCATGATATGTCTTGCCAAGCACTTTCTCAGGTTGCAGGTCTCTCAGTTTGGATTTCTGGGATTTGAAGCCTCGGCTTTTGTGTGGTGGGAAACCAGCAAACACCTCCAAACGGAACCAAACCACGAATTGGAGGGAGGCAGTCTGTCGCAGTGGGCTGGTTGAGGCTTGGTACCCCAAGAGAAGTCGGCTTCAAAAAACCAATATGGAATCTATTTTAGGGTAGACTAAATATGATGAAGACCCCGACAAATATTTTTGCATCCCAGATGTCGGCCAAGTTGTGGTTGGCATAAAGGGAAGATGTGTTGTTTTTAAGGTTCGGTACCCCTTCTTGGGGGTTGGCTTAAAGGGAAATCAAGATGAAGCCACTCATTTTGGGGGTCCGACCTCCAATTTTGCCCCTCACCCTTTTGGGCAAATTATAACGATGGAAGCTTTCATGAAGACGTTCTTGGTGAGACCCATGAGCCCTCATTTGGATGCTTTTCACGGGCAACCAAAGCGTACCAACGAACATGCCAGTGTTCAGTTAAGCAGTTCAGAAGAAGACTCCCCGCACCTGATTCGAGCCCATGTTTCTAGAGGGCAAATGGGAAGTCAAACCGAACCTGGAAATCGCCAATCCAAACCACCAACCAGTAGGACGCTGAAATCTGCCTGTTTGGTTTGTACTTGGAAAGAGTAACGCTACTTGGGAAGTGGTTAGTACACCTTTGATTCTTTCTCGGGGCTAACGGCAAAAACAGTCGCAACTGTTCATTGGATTCCACCCTATTCCTTTTTTGTGGGTTGCCCCCCCCCCCCACAAAGTCCTCATCAAGTCCTCACTGGGGTCTTCTTCAAAACGATCTTATGTTTTAGGGTAGAACATTTTATAAATGATGCACATATTCAGAACATGGTATTTCTCTTGCTGGTGCTCAGTAGGGAATGAGGGAATGAACCCAAGGGGTCTTAAAGGAAGCCACCAGTTGGATGGTTTATAGGGTTCCCCTTGTTTCCTGCCTATTTGTGGTACCTCAAAACTATCTTGTATTTTTGGGGTAGACGAAATGTGACAAATTTTCTGTGTACTCCAGATGTGACCTGGGTATGGGTCAAAATTTCACCACCAGGGGACCCCAGGCTTTAATCCTGGGTTCCATTTACCAGTTCCATGTTGGGTACACATATATTCAAACAATCTGTTTGTTTTTTCCTGTGCACCTCCAGGTGTGGTTGCCATAGGTGTCCTTTTTGGTTGTTTTGGTAGAAAACTAGATTTCCCTGGTTTGCCTGGTGATTTCATCCTCGGTGTGGTTGCCGCGCCTCGAGCGACTCGAGCCTCCAGAGCCTCGAGCCATCCCGCGCCCAGGCTGGACCTGGGCAGCAACCAGCTGGGCGACGCCGTCACCGCGGAGCTCTGCAGAGCGCTGGCGCAAGGCGCTGGGGTTCCGCGGTCGCTCCTCATTGGTTTGTTTCTGGTGAAGGGATCGAAAGTCAGATGCTCCTTTGGGTGGTGTTGACGGGAAACCAACAGGGAAATCACCTATTTCGGGGGTTCCTTTTTTTTGAGAGAAACCCACACGGGTTTGGGAAAGGGACACCATTCCCAGGGAAACAAAGGAAGCCGTGGTCCATTTTTCTATGGGGATCAACTCACCCCATTCATCGTGGCTTCTTCGGTTGCAGGTGAGCATCTCAAAGTTATCAAAGGGTCATGTTCTGTGATAGCTCGCCGGCATTCGGCCCCACTTGCTGCGTTTTGGCCTTTGCCTATACTTTAGGGTCGGGTGCGATGGGGCGCGTTCGCAAGATCAGCGGTGAGGATGTGATGACCGAGGATGAGTTCGCTGCATGGTGGAGTAAGTGCGAGCACCTGCACGGCGATGTCTTCATTGATGTGCTCAGGCACCATTTGGCCAAGAAGCTGCAGGTGAAGAATTTCAGGCGGCTTGCGTTGGCTTGCGGTGATGAAAGTCTTTCAGTGGACAGCCAGTGGAGCGATGCAGAGCTGGTGGTTGTGATTCGGCCCTACTTGGAAGAGACCGAGGGCGGGATGACGCTGGCGCAGGCGGTGCTGGAGGCGAACCTTGCAGGAGTTGTGAACCTCCTCGAAAGGCCCCTGGACCCGGACACCGAAGCATATCACCCAGGAGAAGTTGACTCAGGGGACTCAGAGAGTGACCAAGGAGACAGGGTGACACCGCTGCAGCTAAGTGCTAAGTATGGCCATTTGGAAGTTGTGCGTTGCTTGCTGCAAGCTGGCGCTGACAAGGACAAGCCCGACTGTGACGGACAGACTGCCATGCACTTGGCTGCTCAGGAAGGCCATTTGGAAGTTGTGCGTTGCTTGCTGCAAGCTGGCGCTGACAAGGGCAAGACCGACTGTCACGGACAGACTGCCATGCACTTGGCTGCTGAGAATGGCCTTTCGTATATGCATTTTGAAGTTGTTCGTTGCTTGCTGCAAGCCGGCGCTGACAAGGACAAGACCGACATTCGCGGACAGACTGCCATGCACTTGGCTGCTGAGAATGGCCATTTGGAAGTTGTTCGCTGCCTGATACAAGCCGGCACTGACAAGGACAATCCCGGTAATCACGGACAGACTGCCATGCACTTGGCTGCTGAGTTTGGCAAAGTGGAAGTCGTGAATTTGTTGCTGCAAGCCGGGGCTGACAAGGGCAAGACCGACAGTCACGGACAGACTGCCATGCACTTGGCTGCTAAGAAAGGCCGTTTGGAAGTTGTTCGTTGCCTGATGCAAGCCGGGGCTGACAAGGACAAGCCCGACTATCACGAACAGACTGCCATGCACTTGGCTGCTGCAGATGGCCATTCGGAAGTCGTGAATTGCTTGCTGCAAGCCGGCACTGACAAGGACAATCCCGGTAATCACGGACAGACTGCCATGCACTTGGCTGCTGAGTTTGGCAAAGTGGAAGTCGTGAATTTGTTGCTGCAAGCCGGGGCTGACAAGGGCAAGACCGACAGGCACGGACAGACTGCCATGCACTTGGCTGCTAAGAAAGGCCGTTTGGAAGTTGTTCGTTGCCTGATGCAAGCCGGGGCTGACAAGGACAAGCCCGACTATCACGAACAGACTGCCATGCACTTGGCTGCTGCAGATGGCCATTCGGAAGTCGTGAATTGCTTGCTGCAAGCCGGGGCTGACAAGGGCAAGACCGACTGTCACGGACAGCCTGCCATGCACTTGGCTGCTGAGAATGGCCATTCGGAAGTTGTTTGTTGCTTGCTGCAAGCCGGCGCCGACAAGGACAAGACGGACACCTACGGACAGGCTGCCATGCACTTGGCTGCTGAGAATGGCCATTCGGAAGTTGTGCGTTGCTTGCTGCAAGCTGGCGCTGACAAGGACAAGCCCGACAGTCGCGGACAGACTGCCATGCACTTGGCGAAAGTTGTGCACTTGTTGGCGCCCCGCAGAGTCAGCGGCAAGTTCAAGCCAGGACGTGTAGTTTCACTCGACAAGCGCCGGCGAATGCAGTAAAACACGGTAATGCAATTGCCTGCTTTCTAAGTGTAACCAGTTGATTTCTGGGGTAGGCTGAATATGAAGAAGAATCTGAAGAGATGTTTTCTCTGTGTTCCCCTTCTTTGCGAGCCAATATTTGGGGGTTGCTTCGACTTTCGGTAGGCCAGCTAAAATCAAAAGAGCTTCAATTGCTCAGCTGCAGCTACCCAAAGGTCCCATTCCCCAGTCGGTTGATGTTGACCCCATATTAATATATTATCCCAGTTTATTAATAGGGGGTGTTCCCCTCCAAACCCAATGACACCCCCTTATGAATTAGCAGGGGTTGCTTATTAGGGGGTCAACATTACCTGACCGTTTCTCATAAAGGATGCTTTAATCATGCTACATATCTGTTTCCTTGCGGGTAGCTTCTCCGGTAACTCTCTTCACGGAAACTTCAGAAACCATTGACATGTTTCCGCCATTTTGGTGTTCCGAGTTTGGGAACACCTCCAAAACGGCGATGGTTACCTAAACTGGAATCTGTTTTAAGGTTGGACAGCCATGGTGAATTGTCCCTAGGTTTTCCTTGACACGTCTACGGTCGACTCGCCTCGCGATCCGATCCGATCCGATCCGCGAGGCTGCCCCTTGTTGGAAGGGCTGGGCCTCGCGAGGCGAAGAGACGAAGCTTCGCCGCTTTTTCGGTCGCCGGGTAGTCTTACCGTTTTGCCTCTGGGTTTTCCATGATGGTTTTCCCTGGTTGGCTACTATAATAATAACTGGAAGCACTGGGATATAGATTCATACAATGACAAAGTTCATGTTTGGCATGCCCAAGCTTGTTTGAGGGTCCGGGAAGCAGTCTGTGGCCAACTTGGGAGGCACATGGGAGACGAGCCTCCCATGCTCCCCACAACAACCAGGAGTCGAGCCCTAATGTTCCATGTGCATGGGAACCGCTTTTTAGCACTTGGCCATTTGGACCGCTAGTAAAATTCTGAACCAAAACTGGTCCCCCCCACTCAGAATTCCCACATGTGGTTGGTCATATGTGGGCAAACATGTGTTTTTTATCCCCTTCCCCAGGAAGCCAATAACTTTGGGCCCTGTCTGCTATAACAGCAACAAACGCTGTTTTTTGCAGCCACCCACTAACAATGCGGAAGAAGGGTTCATGACACCCCAGTCAGTCGAAACAACCTCTGCACAAACCCAACAGCATCTGGCCAAACTAGGACGATTGCATTGAGACGTGCAATCCAAGACTCGTAGATACCCGAAGGCGGCTAAACGTTTCGTCTGTGGCAAGGGTATGATGAACAAAACCCACTTCGCACCTGGGATGCGGGAAACCACCAAAATTGTCCCATTGATTTCAAGTAAAGTTTCCCTGAGCCCCTTCACCCTGAATCGGCCCTCAAACATACCTCATGTTGTCGAGCAGTTCGTCGGGGTAGTTTCACACTACAGGATGCAGCTTCTTCCCAACAGGAAAGCAACCATTTTGAGGTCCCCGTCAAGTTGTTTCTCCAGCTGGCTTCCATTCACTTCCGTTTGGCACAAGCACAACCTAATCTGGTCTGCTCAACAGTTTCGTTTGAAACAATTTTGCGGCAAAAGTGAGAACGGCAGTTGGTGGTTGCCTTTGGTCTGGTTTCCCAATTGTTTCTTTCGATCCCCTTTGTTTTCCCTTTGTTTGCCTCAGTTTTTCTTTGGCTTCCCTCGGTTCTCTCCGTGTTTTCCCCTGGGTTTGGTTTTCGTTGGCTTCCCTCGGTTCTCTCCGTGTGTTCCCTTGGGTTTGGTTTTTCGGTGGCTTCCCTCGGTTCTCTTCGTGTGTTCCCCTGGGTTTGGTTTTTCGTTGGCTTCCCTCGGTTCTCTTCGTGTGTTCCCCTGGGTTTGGTTTTTCGGTGGCTTCCCTCGGTTCTCTTCGTGTGTTCCCCTGGGTGTGGTTTTTCGGTGGCTTCCCTCGGTTCTCTTCGTGTGTTCCCCTGGGTTTGGTTTTTCGGTGGCTTCCCTCGGTTCTCTTCGTGTGTTCCCCTGGGTTTGGTTTTTCGTTGGCTTCCCTCGGTTCTCTTCGTGTGTTCCCCTGGGTTTGGTTTTTCGGTGGCTTCCCTCGGTTCTCTTCGTGTGTTCCCTGGGTTTGGTTTTTCAGTGGCTTCCCTCGGTTCTCTTCGTGTGTTCCCCTGGGTTTGGTTTTTCGGTGGCTTCCCTCGGTTCAGGTGTG